AAATAACCACACCCATACAGCTCGTGGGGGGAACCGCATCCATCCTTTTAACTACACGCACACATCACAGCCCACACACCGCTACTACAGAAACCCAGAGCGAAGAACAACCTGCGACGGTACAGCGGCAACTGTGCCAACACCTTCTAGGTAAGAAAGCCTAAGTGCTTTACTGTGTCACTAAAGAAGGCTACCGTAGGACGCAAATATGAGACGAGTGCTTCGTCAGAATTCTGTTGTGGCGTGGGTCCAATAAGTGCGATCTCCTTGCCGAACGCTGATGCCACCGCCGTGTCCAATCTGTGGCCTACGGTGGCCCTGCTTAGTGACGCAGGAAAATTCTGCACTTGGGCTTTCTTATCTAGGAGGTGTTGACTCAGCACGCCCGCATTGCACAGCCCCGTGACGTGCCCTCCTCTCTTGCTCCGCGCCAGCAGTGGGCGTGACTTTGACGAAAACGAACGGGCTCTGGAGAACTTAAAAATCACAACAACAACAACAACAAAAAAAAAAAGTGAACGAAGAAGAGATACAGACAACACGGATTGGCGCTACCTTTCAACTGATTTAATCAAGGGAAACCGCCCAGCAGACATTCGTAAACACTCTTTCCTATCTTCCCGACCCCAGCGATGAAAGCAAATAATAAACACAAACCAAAAATGTTAATGATTTAACCATTCATATCAGTTCATCGTGTCTGCAAAAAACCATATAGAAATTTCCTCGTCATTTAGTAAACTCGAAGGCGCGCTGACGCAGTCGTAACCTGAGGACTTTATAAAATACGATTCAACTATTTCCCTTTCAGTGTTGGTGTTTGCTCCTTTAATAAATTTTGTTAGTTCTAACAGGGGATCACACTCGCACCGCGTGAAGTGTACTGCAAGGTGTCCCCAGGTTTGTTACGAACCGCTAAACAATGTTCACGCGGCCTTTCATTAAAATACCACCCAGTCTGTCCCATATACACGCGCCCGCACTTAAGCGGATTCTAGTAAGCATTAAAGGCACAAGCTGTGTTCTGAGTGAGGGACTTCTTCGAGCATTGAACGCGTTTCTGCCTTTACCTCGTTTCACCTTAGGTCCGAGCGTGGCCGACGTTATGAGCCGAAGGGCCAATCTGACGGCGAAAAAGTCACATCGTCATGGTGTGCTCTCCACAGTTCATAGGACCAGCGGTGTTCGCCGTCTTTCTGTGCGTGCTCCTTCGCCGGCTCGTCCTGAGCGAAGAACGCAATGAAGTTGCGTTTTTTTGCGCTGTTTGATTGGACCGTCAACTAATAGCAACGGCCACGCTCAGACCTAAGCTGAAACCAAGTAGAGTCAGCATGAGACAAACTCATTTTGACGAAAACCCGGCAGCGTCTGTCAGTGTGTCTGCGCCGGGAAGAGAGGGAGAGGTTTACACCTGCTGACATCAGCGCTCCGGACCAAAGGGTGTGTCGTAGGAATCACCCTCTCCCCCTTCTTCTCCCTCTCTCCCCGGCGCTCACAAACGAAAGCCACCGCCAGGTCTTTGTCGTAACGAGCGTTCTAATGCTAACGCATTAAAACTAAATTATTTCACGCGTTATTTAATGGCAAAGCTAGGCTGTCTAGTGTCCTCCACATGGCCTAAAAATGAACAGGGCTGAGTTTCTATGGTGCTTCCACATTGCAGGCTTTCTATGAAGGTTTTATTCGCATGGTTAAATTGCCACGAATTCTAGTAGGGAGGAAATCGAACAGGGGGGGGGGGGGGGGGGTGGGGGGCATGCCTCTAGCGGTGCGCTTCACCTGGGGGGCTACAAACCGAACTTTCTTGTTTGTTTTTGATCTGAGATATTTAAGATGACGATTCCAAGACCGCTGCTCGTGCGACCAAAGCAATGGTCCAAGCGAAGCGCTCGTGCCCAGACCGTGCTAGGTGAGCTTCAATTGTATTGTCACGCTGTGTTTGTGAACACCGGGCTGTCGGGACAACAAACTCGATAAAGCACCCCGTATTGGCGGCGTGCGCGAACTGCAGGGGGCGCTTCTCCAGCTATCATCATCATGGTTTGTGACGTCATGGGCAGGACAGACTGGAGCAGACCACGCAGATCTTGGATCCCTGGACTCGTCAGGTCGCCTCATGCTCTGTTCGGGTAACGCGCGGCAAAGCCTGTTTCACTCGTTGTCTTTATTTTGTGAAGTTACGTTTGTTGTAGGACTATTTACCGGAGCTTGAAACAACAGCACGCGTACAAACACTTTTGGCGCTAAGGTGTGGAAGCGCTGGGATGGCGGTGTGCTGTTCTTTGCCCTGGTACAAAAAGCTGGATGTTGAAAATAGAATATAGAGCGCTTTTCCCCACTACAACATCTGCCACGGTGATAGGGTGTATTTTTTATTATGATTCGTTCGGACAAAATGAATCTATGAAAGGAATGTCTCATTAAATTGAAAATAGAAAAGCGAAACTCGAAAACATCTCGCGTGTGTAGTAAACAATTCAGTGAAAGTGACTCCGTGTATCCTATTGGTTCTAATGTTTTCTGTGGGTGCTGGTCTCTCATTAGTTCTAAAAGGATTCCTATTTTTGAATTTTGTAAACCAGTAAACTAACATTTTTTCAAAGTACTTTAAAGGAAGAAGTGGAAGAAGTGGTGGCTGGCTTAAGGATTTGCTTTAACTAAATCTCTGTTTATCCACTTGGTCGATGGGAAATATGCGAGACCCTCTCGCGATCGAAATATTAAATTAATAAGTCCGTGGCACCTCAGCGTCCCAAAAATTAAAGTATACACCTGCTAGAAGCTACTTCCATTTGTGTGTTTAACTTTGCAGACCCAAATGAGCATAATGCGAGATGCGCTTCTCAGCGAGCGATTTTAAATTTGTAAACAGTTCTTAGAAAACATTGGATAGCACAAATAAATTAATCTCCTTAATTCGCCGGGTTCTGTCTGACAATTGAACAATTTATGAAAATGGGTGCTTTCATTCGAACGGAAGTCGCGATGTGACAAAATTCTTCGCCACGTATTCGATGCGGGAGGAGCAAAGCGTCAGTTTCTGACAAGAATTCGCTTGTCAGCCACTGCCGAATCACACTTAGATAGAAGCGTCGGTATCGTCAAGCTAAATGTAGCTAAAGCATGTGTGACGAAAACTCGTGCACAACTAAGAAGACAGCACGCAATTCACTCTAGTGAATGCGAAACATTTTTTCTACAAGAGCCTCCACAGATCCGAAAAAAAAAGAATCAGCAAGGCTGTGAACAACCCTGTCGCACGTTGCTCAAGCTTTTTTTTTTTTACATTTGGAAGATTTTGAGGCTCTGTTATATCTTAGAAAGATCACTGATAGAAACGTTATACACGTGTCTTTAATAAATAATTTTAATCGGCATAAATGCGAACTAACATAGCCACTGCGTGCTTTGATACAGCACGTCGTCTGCTTGAATCCTACCGGATCCGTCACAGGAGGGCGCCTGCAAGGTGTCGCCAACAAAACATCTAGTCGTCAATAGTGCGATCTCCTTCACAATAGCGTGTAAAGTGGAGACTACGCAGAACCGATCGACAATCTCAACTGTACAGCACGGACTTCAAAAAAACAGACAGCAACAAAGAATGTGGGTAACACTAAGCTGGCATTCATATTGGTCGTCATGAATATCATTATTCCTTGCAATTGCCTGATGCGTTTCACACCTACTATCAGTTATATTGAGTTCATCACTTTTGTAAATTAATATATATTTGCCAAGAAATATTAAGATGAGCGAAAAAAAGAGTAAATGAGATGCCTAAAAGATTGTCTTGCGGGATATTTTTAGAGAAGAATGTCAAGTGGGTGTTCCGACACAAAACGTTGTTGGCTAATGTCAAATGCATGAGACGATTCAAAATAAATATCGCATATTTGTAGTAGCACATTGTAAAAAGAATCGAAATCCGACTGAACTGAAAATGCTCACTATTATAATTTTTGAATATGCGAAGGGATACATAAGAAACTCCGGGGAAGCTGTATGTCCATCCCAAGGACACTTCACCATGATAGCTCAGTTTTCTAAGATAACACTAAACTTTAGTTTATAAGTTTTTACGCGACATAAGGGACAATCACAAGGGAGTGCACACAAGCAAGCGTGTGTGACTGCCTTGTGATTGTCCCTTGTGTCGCGCAAAAACGTCTAGACTGCATCATGAACATTCTTTCAAACTTTAACACTCTTCCTATTAAAGAAAATATTTAGTTTACATTATCAAACCCTGGAGTAAATCTGTAGCATGAAAATATGACGGGTAGGATCATCGCATCCATCATGTTCTTGGCAGCCAGAAAGTGGCATGTGCTGCATAAAAAAAAGTTTAACATATTTTGTACGGTAAAAAGATATTGAACGCATTATTACTTGAATTTCAGAGAAAAAGCGGACGGAGTAAAAAAAAGTGACGAACTATTTCCTTCATGGCCATACGTGAAATGCGCTCATGTTCACCAACGCTCCCTTGTATATGAAATTTTTATAAGCCGTTCACGGACGACCTATAATGTTCTTCGCACATCCGCTAAGAAACCGCAGCAAGCGTATATGTAAAATGCGTCATGACAGTCGCGGTGAAAAGGCTATAATACTGAGAATATTTCTTCTGATAAGAAAATTCTAGATGGGATACTTTTTTTTTAAGAAAGCGTCAGGTACAAGGAGCGCCAGTGCAAGTTCTCACGGGAATATTTTTTGCTCGTTCATATGATATTCTTCTGTTAAGCGCATATTAATCGTAGAAAAACAGAAGTTATTCTTTATAGTTTCTCCACTTTATGGGTTCTTCTCTTATCTACAAGAAACAAGCTACATTCGGAGGCTTATCTGTTCGTCTATCCGTCTTGTTCCGGTTGCTGCACCCGATCGCAAAACCAACAGCAGTGACCAGAAATTCCCGCCGAGCATCTGGTTCTTTTCCCAATATAGTAATCTAGAATCTATGTTTCTATAAAAGGCAAATGCTTTGCCGATCTAACATCACTTTATACCTCGTACAAGGACCAGCAAGCCGATCGCGGTAAGCTCCTCAATGACTTTGTGACATCGCAGTGCAGTGCAATGCAGTTTTTAGGTAATATCGTCTCGACGTATATGTCAGCTCTCTAAACTAGCACATCGCAAAACCTCGTCTGAAATCCTGAAATAATACAGCGATTGCTAAAAACATGCCAATATTTGCCGTATGTGCACCCCCCACTCTGTGTAAAGTACATGAATATTCCAAAATTGGGCTTTGACCAGTAGTGCTTTAAGTCTTTTGAAGTACTCAATTGTCTCCGATGCGTTTTTTTTTTTTTAACTTTCTAGCTTTCTTTAAACTTCCAACTTGTCGGCTATTTGAACCCCAAGATTCCCTTTCATTACAAGACTGCGATGAGCGCTTGTACATGTCCATACGGAGGATGCAGTAAGCCTGAGGAGGGTACATCGATACAGCGACACTGCGTTTTTTTTTCTCGCTCCAGCGCAGGGGTTGTTCCACAAGCAGCAAAATTTCGATTATGTAATATAAGTATACGTCCTATTTTTTTAATGTTTTTCTAAAAATTGAGGTAAAGGATTAATTATCAAAATATGATGATATATTCACGCAACTCTTGAATACATTTCTCATGTCCTCGGTTACTGATACCTCGGTCAAAGATAGCTCCATTGATTCTTTAGCGTCTCTACAATTGCAGCTTGTAACTTCATTTGAACCGCTGTTTTTGTTTAAAGGCTTCCTACTTTCCGCGGAAAGCAATACAATACTTGAACTATTCTCAGCCTTTTTCATTCGTCGAAAAGTATCTCATTTGTCTTTTCTATTAAATTTATTATTTTAACGCTTGACTAAAACATATCATTGTCCTCAGCTTTCATACATTTTTACACTAGACCTCGTAATAGGGCTAGATGGTGGTTACTAAATCTGATCATTTTAAAGACATTAGGACACGAAATTTAAACCGGTGGATTGCTCCTGAAGTAGAATGCTCGTAGGTTACTTGGTGTATGCACCAAGTTTCGCGATTTTTAAACCTTTAGTAATTACAATAATCAATTTAAGATCTCGTCATCGTCGATGAAGCTGGTTGTCAGCTGATCGAAGTCAAAATAACCAACTTTCAAGATATTTTAATGACATTATACACACAGCGCTCCTGCCGTCAGTGTCGAAGACCCCAACAAAACGAGCGATGCCGTAGATGGCATGGTCTCCGAACCGCGTGCTCGAAACGCGAACGGGAAGAGAGACATTTGAAGCGCGAAACGCAGAGAGAGAGACAAGTGTGTGAGTGCGTGCAAGCGAACGCCGCGGGTTCAGAAAATCACGTCACCGACCCAACATGGCTGCATTTTCGAATGGCATGGGTGGGAGGGTCCCGCTTATAAATCGATTTCTCCACAAAACTACAGCGCCATTTTCTATAGAAATATAGCAGAAAAATAGGAACATACAACGGGTCTTAGCAGTATAGTTATCTCATATGTTATTTTTGGCGTGTCCTAACTCCTTTGAATCGGCAAACACTATTTCCGAAATGTGAGCTTACGAAGACTCCCTTATACCATGAACGCCATCTGAGTGGAACAGTTTTCCTTTGTCATTAGTGCATGTACCTCATTTTATTTATTTAGAGACGTTATGTAACCATGTTTGCTAATATTGCGCAGGACTAATCATTTTACAATAAAATAACTTTTGTTTGACTTTTACCTGTTACTTACTGACAAAACATCTTTCCTTTCCCCTCTATTCTGGTTCCTGTGCCCTTAACGTATTCACATAAAGAAGTCTTAATAGACCTCTTCAGCTTTTTATCAAAAAAGGTAGCTACACCGAAGTAATGTTCAATAACTCTAGAAAAAAAATTAAACAAATCTATGGTACTTAACATATCTGACATTATTCTCCTCAAAACCAAATATTTCCGTGAAGCACACGCAATTTTTGAACTAAGACCTAAATGTAAATCAAAGAAAGATGTGCTTGCTGATGTGATAATATTACCATACTTAATTATATGCGGCCGTCCAATATTGTTATATCTTGTTGAAAACAAATCGTAAATCTACTTCCAGATGAGGCTCCTATTCTTCGTGGCTTTGTCATTCCTGGCTCTCGCAGCACAAGGTAAGCTTTAAACACTTTTTTTTTGGCAATCATCTAATACGTTTTGACCTTTTGTTTTTTCCAACTTCATCGACTCTCTGCTAGTCTGCAGTGGCAGGTAAGCGTTTTTGATTGCATTTGAAGGTTGGTCAAAATAGGATGCACTACAGAATTTCTGAATTTTCTTCTAAAATGTTTACTTTTTAGGCCGCAAGTAGACGAAGGAAAAGCTGATTTAGAGTGGATCCAAGCCGACGCAATCACCACTGAATCTATTAAAGATGCATCAAGCGAAAATGATACCCAAGTCACGGTCATCGACACCCTCAGAGACATCTCCAAGACCCTCAAGGAGAAGTTCATCATTCTTGGGGACAAGATCAAGGAAAAGATGAATCAGCTCAAGCAAGCTGCCGGCGATCAGGCCCAAAAAATTAAGTCCCAGCTCAACGATCTGAGAAAGCAGCTGAAAGACTCTGTCCAGGCTCTCAAGAAGAAGGTGCAGGGGTTCTTTGACAAAGGCCAATACGCGTCTTTTGGTGAGCACGCCATAGAAGTATTTGGAAAGATAGTCGAGATCCGGGATAAACTTAACGAGTTTATAAAGGGCGTGAAGGATGTCACCGGAGATAAATTGAGACAGATGCAGGAACTGGCCAAGCAGCTGAGGCAGCAGATCAAAATGAAGGTGCAGGAACTTCTTCACGGCTCTAGTGATTCTCAAACGGCTGTTTACTATGCAAACGATGATGACGATGTTGATGATAGTGAGGCTTATGTTATCGCAACCCTTAAGGATATCTCTAAGTCTCTCAAGGAGAAGTTTCTTCTTCTTGTCGAACACTTGAAGGAGAAATTTGCTGAGCTGAAAAAAGCTGGTAGTGAGCACGCAGAAAAAATTAAAGGCGAACTCCAAATTTTGATGGAACAGGTGGCAGATGCTCGTGAAGCAATGAAACAGAAGGTGCAAGAATTGTTTAAACCGGCTCTGTATGCGTCATTTGGTGAGCACGCAATGGAGATTTTCGCTAAGCTGGGAAAACTTCGTGAAAAGCTGAACAAGTTCCTTGAAGACGTGAAGAAAGTCACTGGTGAGAAAGTGGAGATGCTTAGAAAGCTAATCAAAGAAACGCGTGAGGAGATCAAGAAGAAAATTCAGGAACTCATTCAAGGCTCCAGCGACACACAGATGGTTTTTTACCATGTAAGCGATGATGACACCGATGAAGATAATGATGCCTACGTTATTGAAACCTTGAAGGATATCTCCAAAACACTCAAGGAGAAGTTCCTTATTCTTGTCGAGAACTTGAAGCAAAAATTTGGCGAGCTGAAGAAGGTTGGTGATCAGCATGCTGAAAATATCAAAGCCCAGATACGTGCTCTGAAGGAGAGGGTGTCTGATGCTCGTGACGCTTTAAAGCAGAAGGTGCAAGAATTGTTTAAACCGGCTGAGTATGCATCTTTTGGTGAACACGCGCTGGAAATCTTCGCTAAGCTAGAAAACCTTCGCGAAAAGCTCAATAAGTTTCTGGAAGACGTGAAGAAAGTCACAGGCGAGAAAGTGGATAAGCTAAGAGAGCTCATTAAAGAAACGCGTCAGGAAATCAAGACCAAGATTCAGGAACTTATTGAAAACTCCAGCAGCGCTACAACGGCCCTGTACCAAGCAAGCGATGATGACGAAGATGCAGAGGCCTACATTATCGATACCCTCAAGGATATTTCAAAAGCCCTCAAGGAAAAATTTCTGGTTTTGGGTGAGAGAATTGCCCAGAAAGTACAAGACATCAAACAAGCTTTCGGACAGCGTGCTGAGGTTCTTAAAAAGCAACTTCAGGAACTGAAAGGACAGCTCAGACAAGCATCTTATGCCTTGAAGAAGAAAGTACTCGAGATGATCCGGCCTGAGCAGTCTGCGCAGTACGGCATGTTTGACGGTATTTCCTCGGCAGTTTCAGAGAACCTGGCCACTCTCCGGACCAGGTTGGAGAAATTCTTGAACAAGGTGCAGCAACTTGCGGGAGAAAAGTGGGTGAAGATGCAGGAGACGATTCGCGATCTGAGGAACGAGATCAAGCAAAGCATACGGAAGCTTCTTCAAGGCAAGGCTGAGGTGGAATCTACGGGTGCTCCTGAGCTGACGTCCGCCATACCCATGCAGTACTAACTTTGATGCACTCTGTGTACTGAAGGCGTGTTGCAGATCACATGTTCTTAGAATGAAATTTTTAAATGCGGGGCGTTTTTTTTTCTTGAAATATTAAAAGTCAATAAACTAAAAGAAGTTATCTGCACTCTCCTGCCTTGTTGTGTAGAAGAAGTATAAGTTAAAATCGAAAGGCCACCCGCGCCATATGACTATGGTGCCTAGAACACGTCTCCGACTGGTGTTACTACCTCGGTCTAAAACGTGTTCCATTGATTTCTGGCAGATAATATGACTGAAGTGTCATGTGTGGCCGAGCGCTACCCTGGCTGTATCGTAAAAGTGATGGTTTATATGGCAAACGCCTATTCTGCCGCAGGTTACTCTCTAGCTTAACAGTTCAAGGAAATGTCAGCTGCCAGGAGTTGGGAATCTATGACAAAAGCGACACTCACGTTCATTTCTACACTCTAAGAAAAAGTGAGCACACCCCTTCGTCATCGTGCGTTTTGACGGCTGTAACTACCCCACAGGCTTACTTAACTACCCACTGGGCTCGAGCCATTGAGAGTTAGCACCCTGTTGGCAGGTGACAAGCATGTGGTAGTCACGTTTTATAAACTCTTGAATTGAACATTCAAGTGCATGCAGTCGTTCAATAGTAAAAGTCACTTCAAAAATCTCGAAAAGTACTTGAAACTTGTTTTCTTTGTGCGTTGGTTATCATTTATTCAAATTTGAACCGGTCGAAACAAGCGTGTGGCTCAGTTCGCCTAAACTGGCAGAAAACAAACAAGTACAGGCAACCTTGGTAGGCATCTGCTAAAACCCGAGGCAGATAAAAAGTATCCAAAGTATCGCGGTTGTCCTTTTTGGTTCCGTCGCGGGTTTTACCCAACCAAATCTCTAGAAAAGCACAGGAAGCGACGCACAGGCGTGAGTTGACTTGAATGTTCGCCGGACGAGATACTCTCGTCGTCTTTTACTGTGCGGTTCAGTAAAGAGCGTGCTCTCAATAAAGGTGTGATCGGTCAGTTCTGCGTACAGATCAGTTGCAACTGGCCTCCTCGGTTCCGCCGAACTTGCGTGCCTGTCGTACCCAATTTTTTTGCTTTCAAGTGCAGTGAAGTATGAAGCATTGAACACCACGACTGAGGCCGGACAGGACGAACGTACACAGATATCTGGGATCATGTCCGTGTATTTCACTATTTCTCTGTCTCGAGGTACATGATTCGCCTTCTCTGGTTCATTTGGCACATTTCATCGAGCATACTCGATAAAAAAAAATGCTTCAAACAAGGCCGGTTCAGACACTAGCGTTTGACAGCGTTGCGTCGAGAACCGAAATTCAAGGAATTTCGGTTCTCGACGCAACGCTGCTTCGTATCAAGCGTGGAATCCAATTCAAGGAATCATCTTGGCACGCGATATAAGCAGCAGGGATGTCCTGATTTCTTGCTGCCGCAACGCAGTCAGACGCACGCAGTCAAACACTACTGTCTCAACCAGGATTTAGATAATTTAGCATACGTATTTCGCGTTCGTTGCAGGTGAAGGCACGGGCTCGAAAGCAGCAATTCTGCACTGTCCTCTTGGCGCGAGCGCGAGCGCATTGAACGGATATTTAGCGAAAAGAAGAAAACTGAAATAGCGCTTCGGGGAGGACCGGCGGACGGGCTTCGCTAAGATCAACTGCGCGTGCTCAGTTGGCTCAGTGTACTCAACGTTTACCCAACCGCCGCTAAAGTCAGTCTGGATATGTAAAAAGAGAAAAGAAAATGCACCGGTGTGTTCAGAAAGTTGTGATTGCAGAAATTGGTTTCGATAATTAATACAATTAATTAAACAGGCTTCTGTATACTTGAAGTGTAGGCAAGCGAGAAAACGAAACTGTTCAAAATGTGACGTGTAGCAACTATTCAAATTTATTTATAACCTGCAGTTCACTTTTGCAATGGCCCTACATTAGAGATACGAGCGCTTTCCTAAGGGCAGTAGAGGAAAAGAATATATACGGCTAAATCTTGCACAGTCTTTTCGTATTTATGAAAAATATGACAGTGGTCACCATCCTAATCGGTCACATAAAATACAGCAGTATATAAGCTGGTGGTGTCTTCTTAACGTGGGTATAGGAATGTAGAGTGTCAGTAACTGATGTTGTATCTTGTGCTGTTTCTGAATGCGTTGATGTATAAAATGCTGTGATGTATGTATGTCGCGTATGAGTGAAGTTTGGCGTAGGATATGTACATACGGCATTGTCTGGCGAGGCGCTCAGAGCAAGAATTTGCGTTTCTTTTTTTCTTTAGTTTGAGCACTGTCCGTTAGGTGGCGCGTGTCGCCGCCCAATTCAAGGAGTCGCGCGTTTATGTGTCTACTTATTTTAGTGAAAAACATGGAGGCGTTCCATGGCTCCACGTAGCAGCCACAAAGGGTTTCTGCTTCGGTTCTCGGCCTCTCGTCCAAATGGGATCAATCCCATAGCCAGTTGAATGGGTGTTCCGTGCGGTGAATAGCGCCAAGTGCGTGCACAGACGCGGTGAGGATTACCAGGGACTTGAAAGTGGATAACGAATGCTAACAGGTGAGCAGGAGCGTTGAACGATCGGAACCGACGCCGCTTAAATCGGTGATGTCTCGCCTCGCCGCTGTCAACCGAAAACGCCGGATCACTTGCGGCAAGCACAGCAAGCAGATGCTCTGTTCAATAAAGACATCATTCCATTTGTCGCTATTTTGTTTCCTTCGTTGAATGTTTTCTGGCCGCGAAGTAAATGCAGCCGGCCTCGCGAAAGCAATCGCGGACAAACCCCCTCAAATGCGCCCGCGCCCCCCCCCCCCCCCCCCCCAACCCCTCCTCACATCGTCGCCCCTACTCGTATTAGGTGCGGTGCCGGTGCTTCGAGGCGCGTTTCGGAGTGCTTTGTGCGCACGGAAGGCAGCGAACGGGCGTACGCACTTGAGAATCGTATTTTAGCAAAAAGCACTCCAGCTCGCTAGGCCTTACTCGTATTGCTCCACTGTCGCTTGCCAGCCGCCATGTTGCTTTTGGGGGTGCTCACTGTGATTGCCTGCTGATTGCGTGCCGTGTGACTGCCCATGGGGTTGTTAGTATAACAAAGAGGGGGTAGCGATATCTGTGACAGCTTCTGACGACCCCAAGTGTAGTACCCTACGACAACCCTTTTGTTGAGAGTGTACTTTTTTTTTCTGGGAATTCTAGCACTATTCGCCAGGACCGCGATATCCAACAATCTGACAGATCTCCTTCGTTGATGCCATTTGTTGCCACTGTGGGGCCATGTTCGATGTCTGGGGGGCTTAGACGCTCAACTTAGGAATCGAACACGGATCCCTGGCACCGCGATAGTTCTACTTCGCAGGAACTCTTTGAACATAAGTTCAAAAACATATAGAAAAACTGATGAATCCTAATGAAGACCGATATTAACAATGTAAGCTGGAACAATGATTTTTTTTGAGGGGGGGGGGGGGGAGGGGAAGATGATTAGGCACTCCTAGACAAAGCTGCAAACGTCACAAGACCCATATTCATAGGTATAGACCCATTTGTGCAGGTTAATGCTTTAGCAACCAGATAGCGGAAAAAAAATCTTCAAATGGTCCACAGATTTTTATGGAATTAAAAATTTTATTAAAATTTTGGAAAAGGCAAAAAACGCAAATTCGAAAAAGACACAACATGTAAAGCGCTAACTTTAAATTACTTTAATTCATGCGATCACAGAGACCATCGCCCGCCCACAGCACATGCGCAAACGCTCCTGCGAAAAGAGCCATCACTTCAAATACGAAAGCTCTCTCACATCAACTAAACAGGTGAACCATTCACACAATTAACCGGCACGGACATGTAAACAAAAAAAAAACAGTTTTATTGAATTTATTTATCACTGAGTAAAATAGATGGCGTGCTAACGGAGTTTTGGCTTGAAGATTTGACAAAACGCTTCAACTATTTCTCTTTCTGTGTTGTGTTTTTGCGTTTTTATACCTTTGAAATGAACATGAACCAACTATAAAAATTGTTCCGTTTGAACTATTAACCCAGGGGTGGCCAGGCTGACCCGGCCTAAGAGCCGCAAACAAAACCACGAAACTTCCAAGAGCCGCGGGGTAGGGGCGGGAGGGGGGGGGGGGGGAGGGGGGGGGGGATACTTTGGTTTATTGCAATAAACTAAACTCGAACTACTTTCCGATCTATTTAAGTCAAAAGCAGTCCAACTGTACGCAAGGTAGCAGTGGCACACGACTACCAAACCGCAACCTGTCTTTTGATTTAAAACGCGTTATATTTGTCTTTTTGGAGAAGTGCTCGTGTAACCGGGAGGGAGAACGGGGAAGGGGGGGGGGGGGGGGAGGGGGAAGGAGCCGCGAGCCGCACTTTAACACGCGAAGAGCCGCATGCCGCTCGCGAGCCGCAGCTTGGCCACCCCTGTATTAACCCACCATATTTGTACTGCTCTGTGCTCTCTCCATTGCCATTCCTACGTGACAGTCCCGGATTCTTGCGTTCTGCGTAGAAAGGAAGATTTTCCTCCTGGGGGTGCGGGCTCTTTTCGGAGTTTTAGAATCTACTTGGGGCACGCAAAGAGGGGTTGCAAAATTATGATGTCTGAATATTGGAGACAAGTTCGTCTGCATCAAGACTGGTTTCGTCATCTTCTAAGTACATCTTAAAAATAAGCCACACATCGAAAACTGCCGGTATGCGGAGTTCAGGCATGAGGACTATCAATCGACGGATTAACGTTGATGTTTGTGCTAATTGGTATACAGACATAATATTAAAAAAAAGAGGCCGCATCTTCACGTGGTGAACGATGTTGATTTGGGCCGAAGCTCTGGTGGTACTGATGATACTGATTTTATTGTTCATAGGTAGAGCTGCTGGTGCTGATTTTTGTTTATTGCTCATAGGTAGTGCTGAGTTCCGGGTTGCGTTTCGACTTCATTACTATTGCTTTATGGTCGGTGAAATACAGGGCCAGTGGTTATTCTAGCGGATCAGCTTGGATCCGCTAGAAGCCGTGGGAACGCATCTCCGCCGCTTAAGTCAACGGTCCATGTCAGATAGAGATTGTGTGGTATGGATCGTGGTTATATACGCATTGGAGCATT